GACTTTTTTTATCTAAATTTTAAAATAAAATATAATTATGTTTAAATATATTTAAATTAAAGCATATTAATTAAATTGAGATTAAATAACTACAATATCTTTGTTTTTCCTTTGTTTCATTTGCTTTTTAATAATATTATCTTTATGATACATTTCATTATCCTTTTATAGCACGTTTTTCTCTGTTTTTTCGTATATTTACGACGTTTGGTTTTTGTTTTCATTTATTTTTTTCTTTTCAGGGTTGGATTTGACATCGTCACGTGATCTAAACTACTCTTATTTGTTATCATATTGATCTTCTTTACTTTGGATCCTCAAATTTATCTGGATGCCCAATTTGTGTTCTTGGATAGTTTTCTCACGTCGCTAGACTCTGATTTATAGATTGTCGGTGATCTTTTAATAGCTTCACTCATTTTGTGGTTCGTATATCAATGCAATCAGATTTATTCATATTTATATTTTGTTTGAGCTTTTTACTTATGTTTTTTTAAATTTTTCCTTGTTTGGTCCTTGTGTTATTTAGGTGGCTACTTTTTGTGTCAATTGTTATAGAAAAATGTCCTAATTATACATTTTATTTACGGTTATGCTTTTAAACATTCATTCTAATTTTGGATATTTCATATTTTTTTAATAGAACTAGCTGCTTCTATTAAAAAATTAGATAAATTTTAAGTGTATCAAACCATGTTGAAGGTCCTCAACGTATCTTTCTCGTGCATTATACTTTCTGGATAATCTAAAAATATTTCAAAATCTCTAACACGAACAAAAATATGTTCGATTATTATAATTATTTAATAAATGGACGAACATGAATATATGTAGGGATGGGCATGGGTCGGGTTTTTGGTCCACCCGACCCGACCTGAGAACAAAGGATCCTCCACTCGAGACCCGACCAGACCCGACCAAAACAAAATTTTACCCAACTCGAACCAAACCCGATATATAACTTAGAAACCTGACCCGACCCGAAATAATAAAAAATATTATTTTTATTCAATAAAAACAGTGACTTAATTGAAAAAAATTATATATAGAGGGGTATTATTATAATTATTCCTAAATATATAAGATAAAATTATATATTTTTTCAGGTCGGGTTGGCCGGATATTTTTCACCCTAAACCCGACCCGACCCGAACATCACACTTAAAAAAACTCAATCCCGACCCGAACCCATTTTTTTTTAAAAAAAACCAGACCCGATTGATTCGAAACTCGTCAGATTCGGGTCCCGTTCCCAACCCTAAATATATGTGTGTTAGATTATATTATATTCACGAATAATATTACTTAAAATCTCTTTCATTGACTCATTTACCTGATTCTCCTTTTTTAATTTTTACATTTTACATATTGATGAAAGTAAGGATTAAATTAGACACTTGGTGAACCTTAGAGTTTAAACTATGGAGTTTAAGGAGCTTAAGGACTAGTGGTGTAATTTTATCATTTTTAATTTAATTTTTGTTTTGGTTTTTTAGTTAATATTTCTAAACATATAAATGAACACTAAAAGAATATGTTGTCGAACATATAAATAAACATATTAAAAAATGCTAAACGAACATGTTGGTAAACATATAAATTAATATGCTTGCGAGTGGTAAATAAATATGTTCACAAATATTAAACGAACATATTCACGAACACTAAATGGACCAAATATGAACACCTTAAAATATAAACAAGTAAATACTAATACAACATTAATGGTTTAAATGAATACAAACCGAATATAAACACCTTAAAAAATAAATACGATCTTGTTCGTTCAAGCCTTACTTATTTATACTCCTGTTCAAAATTAAAAATAATTAAACGAACTTAACCTTCAATGTTTAAAAATTCTATCAATTCAGTTTTTTGCAATAATGTCAAACCAAGCGAGTTTATTAGATTAAAATAGTAGTTATATAATTGTATTATTCGATAAAGTAACAATAAATTATTGTTAAATTGTTATTAGACAAAAAAATAACAACAAAATAATATAATATTTTTTTTGGAAAAGAACAAACAATTTAAGATAAGAAAAAAAAGACTAAAATGCTGAAATTAGAAATATAAAAGATTAAATTTTTTGAATTTCAATCAAATTAATTAATTATATAAGTTTTAAAGATTAAAATTATTAGTATACATGTTCACAATAATTTTTTGTCTAATATTTAATGACCAATGACATGCTTATAACAATATTTTCATTAAGTGATCTGTTTAACCTTTTAGATAAAGTGACATATTTATTATTAAACAATTTAAGATAACGAAAAATTGTTGAGAAGAAATTGGGTAATTGATCTGGGTTATATACTTAGGGAGGCCAATCGTGTCGCTGATTTCATCGTCAAATAGATGGGAAAGCACCATGAAGATACCAATTTGTTCGAAGATTATCCTAAAGAAGCTGAAGAGCTACTGATTGTAGACAAAACGGGTAGATAGGCGAATTTTGTACCTTTCTCAACCAAAAAAACAATTTAAGATAAGAAAAAAAAGACTAAAATGCTGAAATTAGAAATATAAAAGATTAAACTTATTGAATTTGGATCAAATTAATTAATTATATAAATTTTAAAGATTAAAATTATTAGTATACATGTTCACAATAATTTTTTGCCAATATTTAATGACCAATCACATCTTTATAACAATATTTTAATTAAGTGATCAGTTTAAACTTTTAGATAAAATGACATATTTATTATTAAACTCATAATTAATTGACTTTGGTTGTAATTTACCTTTGAGTAATAATTTACTATTATATATTAATTATTTGTTTGTTAAGTTAATGTGATTATAAAGTTATATTTGTTCTGAGTATTTTAATACGGACGAACGCATGATTTAAAGTTAGGGGGATAAACTTTAACTTATAATATTTTAAGTCGATAAACTTGAACTTATAAAATTTTAAAGAACGAAAATAAATTTTCAATAAAAAATACATAAAAATTTAAAATATATAATAATTTTATATTTTTAGAGTGTATGACCGTTCCCGCTTCATATACTGATACAAGTGGGAATGAAAAGTTTAATTTCTACCAACAAAACTGCAGAAAGCACAGAGCAGACGCGTGTTTTTAAGGTCACGGTGAAAGTAGATGAAATTATCACGATTTCTTGATATTTATCATCAAACCAAATCTTCACAACGACGTGTGATGGTATGGACACGTGGCGCATTCAAAGGCCCTGATCACATCCATCTTCATTGGTGAGAAATGAATAATTAACTCTTAAAAAGAAAAAAAAAACCTTAATTAGAAATAATAAATACTATTCATTAATGCTTTATGTAAATATTGAAATAAATAAAATTTTGTTATTATTCATTAATGAAACTTTATAGTTGAATATTTTTTACAAGTACATAAACTAACTTACTTAAGGAGTTAAAGGAACGTTATTGTTCATAGGGATTACGAGTTTGAGCACCAACTACCGAAATAGAGTGATTGAACGTTTATTGTAAAATGATTGAGAATATTTAAAACAAATACTACTTTGTTATCACATTAACTTAATAAATACTTTTTATAAGTAAATTAATTATATACAAATACATGGTTATCGTAGTTTCTATGATTTTTGATGAGAATTATATATTGTGATTCTAATACAAAGTTCATTCAGAATCAAACCCGTCACTATTATAAGAAAAAATAAATATATAGGGTAAATTACATATTTAGTCACTCATATTTCATATGTTTCTATTTTAATCATTCAACTATTTTTTAAATCATACATAATATTATGTTCCAATTCCATTTTGATCATCTACATTTAAAAAATAAATAAAAATAAAAAGTTGTTATGAATTAGTTTTACCATGTTTATAATGAATTTATTTGATAAAAATGAAATTAAAATTTTTAATTAAGCTAAGGTGATTATAATAATAAAGTAATATATATTCTAAATATTATCAATCATTTGACAATGAAAGCTCACCACCTTACTGTAATTGCTGGTGCTCGAACCCGTAACCTCTAGGAACAACAATAGTTTCTTTAACCATTTAGTCAAGTTTATTCGTGCAAATGAATTTGACATATAAAATAATAAAACTATTGAAAAGAATAAGCATGTAACTTCAATTTCTTAATGAACTTCTTTTTAGATTTGAATTCTATTATCATCTTGATGAATTTTCTAGAATACCACAATAAAATAAAGGGTAAATTATATGTTTAGTATTTAAATTATTAGTTTTAGTAACTAAACTTTCATCTTTTTAAAAATTATACCTAACGTTTAGTTTTTGTTTCGTTTTAGTACCTCGCCGTTAAAAACTCAACTACCTGTATTTTTTATGGGTAATTACATCATTAATCCCTCAACTATCTTCTCACTCCTTTTTTGGTTCAAAAGTTTAATAATTTTCAATTCAACTAATCAACATATTTTATTCACTCTAATTTATTTTATTAATATTTTTGTGACATGAAATTTTATTATTATTTTATTAATCTATAATTAAAATAAAATTAAATAAATTTTAAAGTTAGAGTGATTAAATTAGGTATAATATGAAAGTTGAGTAATTAAATTAAAAAAAAATTAAACTTTAGTGACCAAAATAAGAGTGAAAAAATAGTTGAGTGATTTATTCATAAAAATTTATCCATAAAAATGTACCACATGCAAATTACTCATTTTTAACGGAAAGGTACTAAAATTGTACGCAAACTAAACATTACATATAGTTTTGAAAAATATTGAAAGTATAAGTGTTAGAAGATTAAAACTGATAATTTAGGTACTAAATGCGTAATTTATTCTAAAATAAAAATAAAAATAAACTTGAACAACCTGTGACCGGATCTCCCCATCGAAGACATTGTGATTTCCGTTCCTACGCCAGAATTCTTTACGCTGAATTAACCGGCTTAGCCCGTTAGATATTTTTCTCTAATAAATTACGTATATACATAAATAATTTTCATTATTTTTTTATTCAAAATACATTTTTATGAGAAATCCAAGAGCCGTGGGATATATAAAGAGCGGTTGGAGTTCTCTTTCTTCTCTGATAAGCTTCAATCTCAAACTTCGTCGGAGCTTTTAATCTGGCGGCCAATCTAATATTATTTTTTTTCAAAATAAAATTGTCACTGCCATCGAAGTTCGTACCCAGAGTAAGTCGGTTTCTTCATCAAAAGTTGTTTAATCTTAGAAAATTTCGAGTCTCACTGTTTTAGAGTTTTGAGATCCGATTTTCATGATATCTAATGTGGTTTTGGAGATCCCAATTGGGAAATACTTTCTTTATTTCTTCGAACTGATTTTCCAATTTCAATTGAGAGTGATTTTTAATGTATATACTTTTCCTTCTAATTTAAAATTTCAGGTTCTTAGTGAAAGTTAAAGTTTAGTTTGAACTAGAAAGTTGTTTTCCAGCAAGCTTTTGAATTTGCTAAGCCTTTAACAAATGGTACTGAAAGTTGCGGCAACGGCGACGAGTTTACAATGGTCAAAGCCAAATCTTCCTCAGCCACCATCTTCCTCCCAAGCTTTAGCTTCAGCGATCTCTTCGCCTTCCCTTCCGAGGCGTTGCCGTAGCGACGGCGCTCTTATTCTCAAGACCGTACAAAGACTGAACCGGTCGGCTCTGTTCGGTTCAAACTCCTCCAGTATCCAACGGTCCCGGTCGGGCGAGAAATCAAGATCCGGAACTTTACGAAGAGCTTGCAGCGCAAGCTTAGAATCCTTTTCCGATGAAGAATTTTCGAAAAAGATTCAAGAATTGGCCCTTAGATTCCAGTTGTCTGATAATGATGGCACCACTAGCAGCAGAAGTACCGGAAATGATTTAGATTCTGAACGGGAACGGGAAACGGAGTCCGTTCCGGAATCTTTGGGATTCGACGAACTATCGTCATGGGTTGAAAGAGGAGAAGAAATAGCATCGTCAAGCATAGAACGTAAAGCCAACAGCGTTGATCTTCCGGTTTCACTGCGAATGATTAAGAGGAAAATACAATGGCAAGAGGGGTTCCGAGAGGCAGGGGAAACGGCTTATTGTTCAGTGAAGAAGGCGTTTTCTTCCATGGTTTTCATAATCCGGGAGCTTCATAGTTACACTTTACAAATGCGAGAGCTTTTGTATTACGAGGATTTACAAGGGATTCTTGTCAGAGTTCAAAATGAGATGCACGCTTCGTTCGTTTGGTTGTTTCAGCAGGTTTTCTCTCACACACCCACTTTAATGGTTTATGTGATGATTCTATTAGCCAATTACTCGGTTCACTCCATGGGAAGCAACGCCGCTCTCGCTGCAGCCGCCGCAGCCGCCGCGAATCCAACGCCTGGGACTTGTGTTTCAATGGTTGATGTTCAAGATCAGAAGCATTCCAAGTTCGATTCGATAAAGTCATTTTCAGTATCATCGTCGAGCGGGAAAACCGCTTCTATCGGTGGGAAGAACGGCGGAGGAGGAAAAGTCCGGCCTGTAGCCAGCGGAACAGACGGCGACGGATGGTTTGAAAAGGCAGACCAATTCAGTAACATTGTTCCAAACGGTGCGTCTCAGTTACCATCTCCAGGAACAACAGGCGAAACACACAGAGATTCAACGTTAGAGAGAGAAACCAGAGAAGAGCTCACTCTTTGGAACTCCATGGTCGACGAAGCTTCGAGAATGCTAGCTTCAGTCAGAGATGAAACGCTCGATCAGGAAACAGTCCAGAGATTCGTTTCGCCGGTGACGGCGAAAATCGAACCGGACGGTGACTATGAAGACTATTTCAGAACCGAGCTGCTTTATCAAACCGGGTTGTCACAAGAGCCTAGCAACGCTCTCCTCCTTGCCAATTATGCCCAGTTTCTCTACCTTGTTGCACATAATTACGACAGGTACGGAATCTTTCCCATCTTTTCATTCAATTTTCATTTACAATAAAAATTAAAAATTATTTCCCCAATTTATTTTTAATCAAAGTGGGTACTGAGATTCAAGATGAAATTGTACTACACCGAATCGAATCACCAAGCAGCTGATTGATTAACTGAATTAAGAAATTACAATAATATATCTATTTCTTTGGTATTTAGTCTGCGGCTGCGCTTCAAATAATTAAGGGAAAATTTTAATTTTGGTCCTCCTATATTAAAAAATTAATAACCTATGTCGTTACCCTGAATATCTGATGGGGGAGTTTTAATGTGTGGTGGAGCAGCAGGGTTCATAATGTTGGGCATGGCAGAGTCGTAAATGTCCCAATCTATCACCTTTCATGCACGTGATTCTTCACGCGCTTATGTGAATTAGCTCTCTAGTTTTTGACTTTTTGACTAGGAAAAAGTTAAGATTTTTTCTCTGTAGCATGCGTGTGTTAGTTGAACTCCACTTTCGATTTACAGCTGTTTTGACTAACGAGGTATTTTTTTTTCTCTTTTAAAAAACGCAGAGCGGAAGAGTACTTCAAGAAAGCAATCGCGGCGGACGCGGCGGACGCGGAGGCATACAGTAAATACGCGACCTTTTTATGGAGAGCTCGGAACGATCTGTGGGCGGCGGAGGAAACTTTCTTGGAAGCGATGTCGGCGGATCCTTGTAACTCGTATCACGCCGCGAATTATGCTCATTTTCTATGGAACACCGGTGGGGAAGACACTTGTTTCCCTCTTGCCTCCCCGGACACTACCCAAGAAGCTTGAAAATTATAAAACAAAAATACAAAAGAAATAAAACATTAGAACAAACATATTAACCCTCTCCCCCTTAATTTGTTTGTTTTTTATTCACGAATTTTGTTTATAAAATAAGGAACATAAAGCTTTCCATGATGAGTTCGATCCAATTCGTTTTTGCTTAATATAATATGATCTTAAGTTATAAAAAGGGAAAATCATGTATGGGATTGAAGCAACTTGGGGAAGAAGAATGGGGTTGTTCTCGAAACTTGGGTGTTCTTGTTTAGCCGAGGCGGAAACATATGGCGAGTGATTCGGAACAGGTGGGTGCATGGGATGGGGATGCATGTGAAGAATTCCGGATGGGGATGCATGTGAAGAATTCCGGCAAATACAGGTAAACTTAGCGACGGCGGGAGACTTGTTTAGCACCGTACGGTGCCATCTGCACGACCACTTTCAGATCTGCTGTTTATGGATATTTCTATAGTTGGTTTGTCGTTCTTTGTTCCCAAAATTCACCTTACTAATTTCAATCTAATTTCCATGAAATCTTATATATTCGTGTAATAGTTTGAAAAGCATAATTTTTAAAATGACTTAATCTAAATTGAAAGTGAGTGTTTATAAAACGTGTACGTAATTAATAGTTAATTTTTTTAATAATTATTTTAGATTATTATAAGAAACTTTCAAGTGTGAAATTAGAATTGAAGTATGTGAACTTCAAAAGTTTTTTTAAAAAATAACTCAATGTGATATTTTAACCATTGATTTCCGTTATTGAACATTACGATATTGACGTGATATTTTACAGTGTTGACGTACGATTGACTGTGGTTGATGATATAGTTAATGAACTAAATTGATTTTTTAAGTTCAAGTATCAAATTGATTTTTTTTTAAAAGTTCAAGGGAATATTTGATTTTTTTTAAAATATAATTAATTTAAATTTAAAATATAAAAATATTAAATAAATATAAAAACACCAAAAAAAAATAAACTATTAAAAAATTAAAAGCAAAATTTTAATCTTATTAAGAAAAAAATATGTAATGAAAGTGAAGACACAATTTTTAATAGAAGTTGGAAATTTATAGATATTGAAAAAATACATGAAGTTTAGTTTCACATGATGCTGGAAATTTATAGATATTGAAAAAATCAATTTGACAATCGAACTTTAAAAAAAAATCAATATAGTCTATCTGTCACGTCATCAGCCACATCACCCATCACCATAGAATTTCAGAGTGAACATATATACATTAATAAAGAATACTTCGATTTTTTAAAAAAGAAAATTTGAAGATGGGCATTGTATCAATGTAGATCTACCACTGCTACTCCCTTCTTAGCCTATCTTTACATCATTTCAATTTTGAACCAATTAAACGAAGCATCAAAACTCATCCCGTTGGCTAAAGGCAGATATAATAAAATTTAGATTAATTTAATTCATATGGACGGACTCAAAATTGAGCTGATATGTCTGATTAAAATCTTAGACTATCAGATTATGAAAAATGAAAGCTTTATGGTATGGATAAAGCTTTCTTATTTGTCAAGTTCTTTTGCGCACATTTCGAAATTATGGTCTTTTATTTTTCCGAGTTCACACCCAACCACATGACCAAATTGTAAGTACACAAATCATTTTCAATTTGCATTTTCCTTTTTTTTTTTTTAGCTTTTTAGGGTTACAAAGGGGGAATGAAAGACAAAACTTGCTTATGCTACCTTATGTCGGCGGATGCTCGAAGATAACAAGCTCTTCGTCAAGACTACAACCCATCTTCGAAAGTATGTCAGCACTAAAGTTTCCCTCGCGATACGTATGGAGAAATGTGAGAGACCAGCTGCGATTCTTGAGATTACGAATATCTATGCATCCCGAATCAATAAGAGGAAGAGCTAATTGTGCATCAACTTCACATTCAATAGCTCGGAAACCCTTATCCCATGCGATCATCAAACCCATGCGAACCGCTTGAAGTTCGACTGCCATGCTGGTGCAGATCCCGACAAGCGCTGAAAATCCCAGAATCCATTCGCCACTAGCATTGCGGAAAATTCCACCAGCTCCCGCTAGACCCGGGCTCCCTTGACTTGCGCCATCAGTGTTTAACTTAATGATGCCATCACTTGGAGCCTTCCAAGTCACCATAAACTGATCCTTCGGGGCCCTGGGTAATTTTTTGTAAGCCAGCAACACCTATTTTGTTGCTACAACAATGCTTTGCCACATGCCAAGTTCATCCGACACTACACCATTTTGATCGAAGCTCTTAACACGCCGATATGTCCAAAGCTTCCACAGAGTTGCTGCAAACCCAGCGATGTACTCCTCCGAATGTTTAGATTTTTCAAGATTTTCAGCCAACCACGTCTCTAAATTATGCGACAATAAGTCCTGTGCGGGAGAGTCGGAAATAATAGTTCCAAATTTTTCGAGCGACAGAACAGTCCCTCAATATGTGAATCAAATCTTCAACCGCACCTCCGCAAGAAAAACACCAAGGAGAAATATTTTGATTATAGGACGCTACTCTTGCATTAGTGAGCAGCCGACTATGCCATGCAAGCCACACGAAAAATTGCCATTTAGGAGGGATAGATAAGTTCCATATCCATGAGAAACCCGTACCAATTTCAACATAATCCTCGGCAAGAAGGGCCAGGTACGCTGATCTCATACTATAACTCACCATTTGTAGAGAGGCCCCAAATATAAGAATCAGGTAAAGTTGAAACTCTGGGTAAGGGATAACTCGTAACTTTATTCGCCACGTCCATAAGGAGTTGAGCAAAAACACGTTCTAAATCCCACTTACCATTTGCCGTAATAAACTCTGAGACTTTTGTTGAATTATCCGCAATAAAAAACGAAACATCAGGGTACTGTACAAGAGGCTTCCACAACCAGTTATCATTCCAAGCTACCAAATGAGGGGAACATTTTTCATCATCACCAGCCCACAGGAACCTACGATTGGCTCGATCAAGACTTTGACAGGTATTCTTAGGCGGTCAAGAAGTTCACATCATATACATTGGCACCGCGGACGTCACCGACCTCACAAGCGTAGCTCTCCCTGCCATAGACAAATGCCTCATTTTCCACCCGTTAAGCCTTAGATGCACTTTATCCACAAGCTCGCTATAGGTTGCTTTGGTAATCCGACCATGAATGAGGGGCACTCCAAGATATTTTTTCAAATCCAAAGTAGCACCTAAATTTACAATTTGGCCAAACCTTCGGCTAGCATTTGAGCAAGCTTTTGGAGATATGAAGAACTTCGACTTCTCGTAACTCACTTTTGCTCCCGAAACAAGGCAAAATCGATCCAAAATAGATTTGAAAACATTGGCTTGATCTTCATTGGCCCTACCAAATAAGAATAGATCATCAATAAAAAATAAATGAGAGATCCGAGGACCATCCTTGCCCAATTTGATCGGTTTCCAAGTATTATTTTCAACAGCTTGTTGAATCAATTGACCAAGGCCTTCCATGCAAAGCACAAAGAGATACGGAGAAATAGGATTGCCTTGTCGTAAGCCTCTAGAAGGGCTGAAAAAGTCCGTCTTCTCGTGGTTCCAAAGCACCGACAACCTGGAGCTCAGAACACAGAACATAATCAGATCAACCCAAATGCGAGGGAACCTAAAGTGAACAAGCGTTTCTTCAAGGAAGTCCCAACGAATCCTGTCATAGGCCTTTTCAAGGTCAAGCTTAATAGCCACAAGACCATTCTTCCCCCTAAATCTCCTTATTTTATGTATCATCTCCTGAGCTAGGAGAATATTATCTGATGCCTGCCGTGTTGGGGAAAACGGGTTATTTCCCACACGAACGTAGTTTTAAAATTGACCTAAAATGTCAAGATTAAAACCACCAAAGGTTGCACAGCGGATAAACCTGTCAAACTATTGAATATTGAAACACAATGGAAAAGAAACGAATAAAAAACAATAAAAGAGAGAACACACCAAATTTACGAGGTTCGACGAGAATATCGTCTACTCCTCGGGCACCACACCGGATGATAACTTCACTATATCGCCAATATTACAACAAATGGAATTCTTTGGAATTCCTAAAGTGGGAGAATGAAGAATACAAGAGGAAGAGAGAAATTGTTTTTTGGGATGATTTCTAATGGAAATAATTAGGCCTATTTATAGTTGAGTTTCAAGAACAATATGTTCAAAGTTTGACCACATACCAAAGAATTTTCCAATGTGTACAAGTTAGCCACCAAATATGAAATTCACATGTTCAAAGTTTGGCCACCAACCAAGATGAAAATTTCCAACTTGTCAACTTAATTTCTAGACAAATCTAACAAATCTCCACCTTGGCTTGAAATTACCAAGCCTACTCAACTTCTTCAACTCCCCCAAATTTGTAGTGCCTCTAATTGCGCTCACAAGCGCCACACACCCGAAGGTGTTCATACTTTCAGGATGTTAATCAAGTTCAAACAATGATTGAACTTGATTACTGTTACCACCTTGGTCATCATATCTGCAGGATTTTCTGATGTCGCAATTTTCTGAAGTAGAATCTTTCCTTCTTCAAAGATCTCCCGCACAAAGTGATACCTCACGTCGATATGCTTAGTCCTTGAATGGTAGACTTGATTTTTCGCTAAGTGAATAGCGCTCTGACTGTCACAATAGAGACTAATGTGACTTTGAACAACTCCCAAGTCTTCCATCAACCCGTTAAGCCAAATTGCTTCCTTTACAGCCTCTGAAACTGCCATGTATTCTGCCTCTGTAGTAGACAAGGCCACCGTAGATTGCAATGTAGACTTCCAACTTACTGGGCTTTAGTAAGAGTAAACAAATACCCAGTAGTTGATCGACGCTTATCCAAATCACCAGCATAATCAGAATCAACATATCCAACCATACACTGACCAAGTGCTTCATCATGTTCAAAAACTAAACCAACATCCACGGTTTGTTGGAGATACCGTAGAATCCATTTCACAGCTTGCCAATGTCTTTCTCCAGGATCATGCATGTACCTGCTCACAACTCCAACTGCTTGTGAAATGTCAGGACGCGTACACACCATTGCATACATCAAGCTCCCAACTGCATTAGCATATGGAACTTTTGCCATATACAATCGTTCTTCGTTAGTTTTAAGAGATAATTGAGAACCAAGTTTCAAATGAGAAGCCAATAGGATACTTACATGTTTGGTATTTTCATTCATGCCAAAACATTGTAATACCTTTCTCAGATACTACTTCTGTGTTAAACAAAGCTTCCCTCTCTGTCTATCTCTGCTTATCTCTATACCAAGAATCTTCTTGGCCTCACCTAGATCTTTCATCTCAAACTCTTGATTCAACTGAGCCTTTAATTTGTCTATCTCCTTTTGACTCTTCGAAGCGATCAACATATCGTCAACGTACAAGAGAAGATAAATGAAAGATCCATCTTTGAGCTTTTACAAATACACACAATGATCATATTTGCTTCTAGTATACTTTTGCCTCCTCATAAAGCTATCAAATCGCTTGTACCACTGCCTCAGAGATTGCTTCAATCCATATAGAGATTTGTTCTGCTTACAAACCCATTTCTCACAACCACCATCTTTTTATCCTTCTGGCTGTGTCATATAGATCTCCTCTTCTAAATCACCGTGCAAGAAAGCCGTCTTTACATCAAGTTGAGCTAGCTCTAAATTCAACTGTGCTACCAAGGCCAATAATATTCTAATGGAGGAATGCTTCACAACAGGGGAAAATACTTCATTGTAGTCGATTCCCTCCTTTTGAGCGTAGCCTTTAGCTACCAATCGTGCCTTGTAGAGAACATCTTTCTTGTTATGAGATCCATCTTTCTTTACAAATACACACTTGCATCTAATGGCTCTTTTACCTTTCGGTAATTGTGCCAGTTTCCAAGTGTCGTTCTTTTGGAGAGATTGCATTTCTTCATCCATGGCACTTTTTCACTTATCACTTTCCAAGTTTTGTATTGCTTCTTGGTAAGTGATAGGGATATCATCATCAACAACTGGAAGAGCATAGGCCACCATATCAACAAATCGAGCAGGTCTACGAATTTCTCTCCTTGGCCTTGTAACTGCAAGTGTTTCTGGTGTCTCTAATGATTCTTAAGTTTGAACCTCTTCATCTTCTGATTCTTCTATTGGAGTTGAAGAATCAGCTGCATCAACTTCTGGGATCATCATCTGCTGAAACTCCACCTGTTTTGGAGTATGCTCCACCTACTGCGGAGTACTACTTGTCTGGACAGCTTCACTTGTTACCTTCTTTACAAGGGCAGATTCATCAAAGGTAACATCTCTACTACAAATTACCTTCTTGGTGTCTAAACACAAAAGGCGGAATCCCTTCACTCCATGGGTGATTCCCATAAAGAGAGCCTTTTTTGCTCTCGGATCAAGCTTGGATTCCTTCACATGATAATAAGCAGTGGATTCAAATACATGTAAGGAATCATAATCAATAGCAGGTTTTCCAGACCATACCTCCAATGGTGTTTTTCCTCCTATCGCTGATGACGGCAGATGATTAATGAGATGGCCAGCATATGTCACAGCCTCAGCCCAAAATTCCTTGCCTAACCCAGCATTAGACAACATACATCGAACTTTCTCCAATAGTGTTCGATTCATACGCTCTGCCACCCCATTCTGTTGTGGTGTATGTCTAACAGTGAAGTGTCGAACAATACCATACTCATGGCAAACGTCAAAGAATGGGTCACTTTTATATTCCCCTCCATTGTCCGTCCTAAGACGTTTGATCTTTCTACCAGTCTGGTTCTCGATCATATTTTTCCATTTCAGGAAAATTTGAAGCACTTCATCTTTAGACTTCATCGGATACACCCAAACTCTTCTGGAAAAGTCATCTATAAAAGTTACAAAATAATGGTTTCCTCCCAAAGACGATGTCTTTGAAGGACCCCATGCATCTGAGTGAATATAATCTACAATACCTTTTGTATTATGTATAGTGGTGCCAAACTTCACTCTCTTCTGCTTTCCCAGAACACAATGCTCGCAAAAGTTCAATTTGCAAGCCTTTGCACCTTTCAACAATCCTTTCTTTGCCATAATTTGCAAGGATTTCTCTCCAGCATGTCCCAACCGCATATGCCACAACTGGGTTGCATCCAAATCATCACCTCCTGAAGCTGCTGCAACTGCTACAATAATTGTACTACCTTGGTAGTAATACAAATTATTTTTCCTGATGCCCTTCATCATCACAAGTGCGCCATATGTGACTTTTAAAACTCCATCACTCATAGTGACTACTGAGCCTTTGGATTCTAAGGCTCCCAACGAGATGAGATTTTTCTTCAAACTGGGCACGTATCGGACATCTGTCAGAACTCTGGTTGATCCATCTTGATTCTTCAATCGAATTGAACCTATCCCAACAGTTTTACAGGCATTGTCATTGCCCATATAAACAACTCCTGCATTTAGTTCCACTAAATCGGAGAACCACTCCCGATTAGGGGACATATGATAGGTGCAACCCGAATCTAATATCCACTCATCGGAATGGAATGTTGTTGATGAAGCAACCAATGATATGTCAGAGTCATGTGCATCATGCTCTGCAACACATGCATCTGGAGCAACTTTTCCTTTCTTCTTCAGCTTCGGACAATCTTTCTTCTAATGGACTTTCTCATGACAAAAGGCACATTCATCTTTTCCCAGTCTGGACTTCGACTTTGATCTCCCTCTCCACTTTGACTTTTAACTTTTCGAGCGACCTCTTGCCACCATGGCCTCTACTGCTTCGTACTTGCTCTCCTTCTTGGTTTTCTTCCTGAGTTCATAAGTATACAAAGCAACAGTTACATCTTTAAGGGTAACATTATCCTTACCATGAAGTAACGTTGTCTCAAGGTGCTCAAATTCATCTGGAAGAGATGACAACAACATCAAAGCCAAATCTTCATCTTTGAAGGTTTCATCCATGCCCAATAAGTCTTCCACTAGCTCATTGAACGCAGTGATGTGTTCATTCATACCGGTGCCTGGTTGATAATCAAATCTGAACAATCTTTTCTTCATGTGGAGACGATTCTGAGAGTTTTTCTTCAGGAATTTTTCCTCCAAAGCTTTCCACATCTTACTTGCAGAAGTCTCGTTCTTGTAGCCATACTTCTGCTCCCTGGAAAGACAAGATCGAATCGTGCTGCACGCCAAACAATTGATTGTTCCCCATTCTTTCTCCTCCATATATTCGAGCTTTTCTTCCTTAATGGCAATGTCTAGACCTTATTGGAATAAAGCGTCTAACACCTCGCCTTGCCACATGCCAAAATGACCGGATCCATCGAACAACTCCACCGAGAAATTTGTATTTGACATCACCCTCCTCACCGGTCCAGATGAAGAGCTTGATGTCTCAACTGATCCGTATTTTGGCATTTTAATTCTAACGAACAATATTCAATATCACGAACTGTATCTTTTCAGTAACGGAACTACCAGGATAACCTCAACCGAAGCTCTGATACCAATTGTTGGGGAAAACGGGTTATTTCTCACACGAACGTAGTTTTAAAATTGACCTAAAATGTCAAGATTAAAACCACCAAAGGTTGCACAACGGATAAACCTGTCAAACTATTGAATATTGAAACACAATGGAAAAGAAACGAATAAAAAACAATAAAGGAGAGAACACACCAAATTTACGAGGTTCGACGAGAATATCGTCTACTCCTCGGGCACCACACCGGATGATAACTTCACTATATCGCCA